AATTTTGATCAATTTAATTTACCGAGGTAGGGCGGACTTCTCTAAACATCGCCGCTTTCATTCGATGACGTCACGCAGCATCAGCCAGTAGCAGCGGAGAACAGGAGCAGCAAGCAAAAGTTTTTGCTCAAGTTTCGGTGTAGGCGATCGAAACGAATGCTTTCAAGCACCGGGGTTTACAGCCGACTTCGATGTTATTTACAGCCGACTTATTTATCGAAACATCAGGGTGAATTTTTCTACGACTTCTTAAACAACAGAAAAGTATGTTCGGTGCTGCTTTGCTTCGTGTTCGGAGCTGTATTATTTAAGATTCAAATGGCTGGATATTCGATAACGAAGCGGTTCACAATGCGTTTCTTACAAATCGAGTTACTTTAGATGAAGTTAGCAATTAATACATGACTGAGACCTAATTATACTAAAAATAGTATACAATACTATAGTACTGGACTCCTATACAATATAATGTGCATAATACTAATTAAAATCCTATGGGCTATAGTAATATGCCTGCGTTTTAAATATTTTTCATTATCATTTCAATCCCTTCTGCTTGACCGTTGCTTGCAAGCGGGAAATTTCCCATCCCACATTAACATAAAAACTCATACCTCCTCCCCCAGGCATCGCAAAACCACGCCTTTCTTCGTCCGTTTTCGATTCCACCAATCAAAGTGGAAGCCTCGCTCAGATTCTCATGTAAAAGTAAAAAAATCTTGTAATTTGAAATTTTTCGTAGTCCAAGGCTTTGTTAGGAGCTGTGCTTGTATGCTTGCAGTTGCTGGTGGTGTACGAGGACGGGGGATGAGGTTATAGAATAAAGGAAGGAGATGGAGGGGAAAATAAATTTAAAGGTCATAGAGATAAAAAGAAAAGAAGGGCTACGCAAAAGTACAAATTTATAAGTTCCAATTGCTCAATCGTACGAATTTTCACATACGAGAGTACATAATGAATGTTCAACATAAGTTGAGTACGACAGTGCATTTTTAGAATTTTGGGTAGCGAAATTCTTTACGAATATTCTATTGATATCATTTTCCTCAATAATATAATTTTATTCATCATTCTTATTACTATAATAAATTTTCTTCCACATTGAATAGGAAATTTCAATTTAAAAATTCGATAAAGCATTGATGAAAACTGGCGATCAAATTATAATTTAATGATATAATATACCGAGACCTAAATGTACGAGCGCAGAACACTCCACAACGATTCATTCAAAATATATACAAATGTTAAGAAAGGATATATTATGATTTAATGCATACTGAAAGACTAATTCTTGCAGGCTTTATAATATGTTCGTTAGCCTAATAATTGTATAACATCTCATCGTAAACGCTACAAAAAAAGCCTTAACTAAATTCTTCAACTTCAAGTTTGTGTTACTCATCATAATCAAATGTTCGTCACTGATGTGCAAGAAAAATTCTACACAAATTAAGTCTTGCTATGTCCAAATGAAATTATTTTTTCTTGTTAATCGACTATTGGTAATTATTCTACCATCCTTTTTCCTCGAAATTTCTCATTTAGGTACTATAGACGCTTTTTACAATTCTCTTTATTTTCCCCATATGCACAAGTTCACAAAATTCACAATCGCACGAATTCTTTCACCGAGTTGATCGTAAAAGTCACTAGTCTCTTGAATTAGGAAAATTTTTTATTCATCACATTTGTTCAGTTATCCTGCCATTCATTATACGAGCTTCTGTCCTCAATTCACGTTTGAACTGGCAATTTGGTGCTATAAATTTTCCTGACGTTTACATGAAATCACTATCAGTTTCATCTCACTAAAATAAATTCACAAGTTTTCCCGCTGAAATGAACTCTAACTTTTTTTTTTCTCGCAATTGCCTGTTCACCTGCAAGTCCCGCATTTACCTTCAATTTCCTTCCATTATCCGTCAATCCCTCACTTCCCATTACTTCTTCCTCGACTCTACCCTTTCCACCAATGTTTTAATGCCTAGAAAACTGCGCCAGCTCTGCACCAGAGCCGCGAACTTGCATTTCACCAAATCCACTAAAATCTGAATCCCTTAGAGCGAAGCCTTGCTGCTTCAAAGAGCTAAAAATGATCTTCGAAATGGTGCCAATGGAAATTCCGGAATAATCTCGCGGGAATTGATGAATTTTTCAGAATTGGAATGAGATAGCAAAGGGATTTTTTCGAGGTACGCGCTGAGTGCTTAAGAGCGAGTGCGATCTGCCAGAGAAGCGAGGGTTTACTTGAGCTGCAAAACTCTGGTTTCCAATATCGCATATACTCACAAAAAATAGAGGCCTATATTTTTCATTTGATTACATCCTTCTCTGAACTAAATTGGACTGAATGATGAGTGGAATATTTAGTTCATTTGAATATGCGAGTTTAGAGGGACTGTTAAGCCGCGATTTTTATTGGTTAGCTAGGGTAAATATTTATAACTCGTAAAAATTTATGGCTTGAATATTTGAAGTTGATCTTTCAGATAACATTTTTGACAAGATGAACAACAAGGAAAATATCATATACCTGCATTAGTGATGTTTATCTATGTCAAATTTCCCAAAATTATGGGCTGGTAAAAATATTCACTGCATGTTCTTTAATTTTTCATCCCAAGATTGAGAAGACGAATACTTTGTGGCTGAGTTTGAAAATCTACGGACGCAGTGACCAAGTATCAACATAAATTCGTACTCCATGAGCAAAATTTTATCCATTATTTTAAATTTTGCACTGGTCTACAATTTATTCACAATAAAGAAAGCAAGACTAAATTTCAACTTTTCTGTTTCCTAAAAAATATGTTGACGCCGCGTCGTGTTTTCGCCAAGGCCCCAATTACGACGGAGATCAATATGCGGAAAATTTCTCGGCAGTTATTTGGAGTTTTTGAGGCTCGAGGGGTGACTCCTTTGCTGTGTAAATGAGGGTCGAGTACGAGCTTCAAAATGGCGGTCATGTTGCCGCTTGTTAGTCCAACTTAATGGTTGTCATTATGCTTCTAATGATAGCCTCTCCACTGATGCTAGGTCTCCAGCTGCTTCGAACATCTATCAGTAAAATAACACTCCAGATTTTTATGGTTAAAATGCCTAGCAGGAGGCCAGCGGACATGCGGGAAAGGCATGCTCGTCGAATCTAAGCGTGCGCATTGAATGCAATTGTCTCCAGGTACGAAGTAAAAGAAGCAAAAAAGATTTGCACAAGTAATTTGAAAATTAAATAGCATTTATTCACAATTGAAGATCTCAATTCATAGCGCATTTGCAATATAGAATTCAATATGAATGTCGACGAAAATTACTATGCATAACAATTTAAGTGAGAGAAATAATAAACGTAAATAAACGTAGTGGATACGCGAAAGAAGTATAACCATGTTGCTCTGAGTTCTACTTGCGACTCAGGGTTCACAACATACGCAAGACATGATCATTTAAATTATTTTGACCGACAATTTCCGTAAATTTTGATGATATTATTTTCAAATGCTGCTTAAATTTTAATCATATATTGATTATACTAGTATTCGATAAGCCATGTGATTAGTAATGGATGGTAAAATAGCTCAAAGAAATAATTTTACATATGCAGCACATTTAATATGTACACATAAAATACACATTATGATAAGTCTCGAATAAGATTATCTCAACTTTGAATTCAACTCAAGGCCAGAAACAACACAACAAAGGTACCAACACTTCCGCACCAACACGACAGTTCCTACAATTGGGATCGATATTTGCCATCTCCCTGCCGCGGCATATCAGGCCTTCGCAACTCTCCATCTCCAGCTTCATTTCCTGCTCGCGAAATTTTTTACTCTCCGTTTGCTTGAGCTGCAATTCCCAGTCAAAAATTTTTGGCGTTGTTGTTGGTGGCCGCCGAATGGCCAACTATAAATCGGGGAAAAATCGCCTGTGGGTTTAAGTAGAGAAAAGGATACGAAGCTATACCGTACAGCTTGCCTGCATGCAGGCGCCTATCATATGATACTTTTTTTTTACAATCTTCTTGCAAATCTCCCGACAATGTAAGGAGGCGTAATGGGACTGTAGATGCGATACAAATATAACTGAAAATTCGATTAGTTGATATTAAATGGGTAAAGAGAAACAAGAAAGTGAGTGCTAAGATATTAATGTGTTTAAATAATTATGATTATTAATTATTCTCATCTGCTAATAATTATTATTCTCATCTGCTGCTAATAATATCTGTTTGTACCTATAGAGCCATGCTTCTTCCACTTCAAACACTTCTACCTCGCGATGTCTCTGGCCACCTCATGCGCTGGTCCTGATGTCTCTGCCCACCTCATGCGCTGGCCTCGATGTCTCAGACCACCTCATGCGCTGGTCCCTATGTCTCTGGCCACCTCATGCGCTGGTCCTGATGTCTCTGGCCACCTCATGCGCTGGTCCCTATGTCTCTGGCCACCTCATGCGCTGGTCCCGATGTCTCTGGCCACCTCATGCGCTGGTCCCTAACTTACCCTCCACCTCTCCACTTACCCTCCACCTCTCCACTTACCCTCCACCTCGCCACTTTCCCTTCACCTCTCCACCCACCCTCCACCTCTCCACTTACCCTCCACCTCTCCACTTGCCCTCCACCTCTCCACATACCCTCCACCTCTCCACTTACCCTCCACCTCTCCACTTGCCCTCCACCTCTCCACATACCCTCCACCTCTCCACTTACCCTCCACCTCTCCACTTACCCTCCACCTCTCCACTTACCCTCCACCTCTTGGCTCAAGCCAAGCACTCTCGAAAATGTCTGTCAAATTTTCGTGGTGGCGCCTCCAACTTTTGCTCACGGAATCTAATTTGACTTTTTTGTGTCGAGTGCAGGAGCTGCCGCTGCGGTGACGGATGAAGCTGCAGCTGCGCAGGCACGGCAGTTACAGTTGCTGGTGATGGCTTTGCAGTTAAAATCACGGCTAGCACATTAGGAGTTAAAATTACTTCTGTCGCATCAGCAATTATTTTGTAATGGCTGCAATCGCACCACCAGTTATGGTTGCAGCTGACGCTGCACCGGTTATGGTTGCAGCTGACGCAGCACCAGTTATGGTTGCAGCTGACGCACTACCAGTTATGGTTGCAGCAGACGCACCACCAGTTATGGTTGCAGCAGACGCACCACCAGTTATGGTTGCAGCTGACGCACCACAGTTATGGTTGCAGCTGACGCACCACCAGTTATGGTTGCAGCTGACGCACCACCAGTTATGGTTGCGACGCTGTCTCTTATACACATCTAGATGTGTATAAGAGACAGCACCACCAGTTATGGTTGCAGCTGACGCACCACCAGTTATGGTTGCAGCTGACGCACCACCAGTTATGGTTGCTGCAGACGCACCACCAGTTATGGTTGCAGCTGTCGCTCCACCAGTTATGGTTGCTGCTGACGCTCCACCAGTTATGGTTGCAGCCGACGCACCACCAGTTGTGGTTGCTGCTGACGCTCCGCCAGTTATGGTTGCAGCCGACGCAACACCAGTTATGGTTGCAGCTGTCGCTCCACCAGTTATGGTTGCTGCAGACGCACCACCAGTTATGGTTGCTGCTGACGCACCACCAGTTATGGTTGCTGCTGACGCTCCACCAGTTATGGTTGCAGCCGACGCACCACCAGTTATGGTTGCTGCTGTCGCTCCACCAGTTATGGTTGCAGCCAACGCACCATCATTTACGGTTGCAGATGACGCTCCACCAGTTATGGTTGCAGCTGACGCTCCACCAGTTATGGTTGCAGCTGACGCACCACCAGTTGTGGTTGCAGCTGCAGACGCACCACCAGTTATGGTTGCAGCTGACGCACCACCAGTTATGGTTGCAGCTGTCGCTCCACCAGTTATGGTTGCAGCTGACGCTCCACCAGTTATGGTTGCAGCTGACGCACCACCAGTTATGGTTGCAGCTGCAGACGCACCACCAGTTATGGTTGCAGCTGACGCACCATCAGTTATGGTTGCAGCCAACGCACCACCAGTTATGGTTGCAGCTGACGCACCACCAGTTATGGTTGCAGCTGACGCTCCACCTGTCTCTTATACACATCTAGATGTGTATAAGAGACAGGTGCTGCACTAGTCGTGTACACGGTGCTGCACTAGTCGTGTACACGGTGCACCTGTCTCTTATACACATCTAGATGTGTATAAGAGACAGCCTCATGCGCTGGTCCCTATGTCTCTGACCACCTCATGCGCTGGTCCCGATGTCTCTGACCACCTCATGTGCTGGTCCCGATGTCTCTGACCGCCTCATGCGCTGGTCCCGATGGCTCTGGCCACCTCATGTGCTGATCTCGATGTCTCTGACCACCTCATGCGCTGGTCCCGATGTCTCTGACCACCTCATGTGCTGGTCTCGATGCCTCTGACCACCTCATGCGCTGGTCCCTATGTCTCTGACCACCTCATGCGCTGGCCTCGATGTCTCAGACCACCTCATGCGTTGGTCCCGATGTCTCAGACCACCTCATGCGCTGGCCTCGATGTCTCTGGCCACCTCATACGCTGGCCTCGATGTCTCTGTCCACCTCATGCGCTGGTCCCGTTGTCTCTGGTCACCTTATTCGCTACGTGCGGCTATGATAGTTATCTTGAAATTACAGACTTCAATATTTTTGTTAAATAAGTAAAATTTCAAGAAATTCAAGGCTCTTTAGAATGCACTCTTGCACATTCATCCAGATTTTGAGTCACTGTTGAATGCAAGAAAGTATTTTGGATCAGCCCCTGGAATTTGAGTGAATTCAATGAGCAATCTAGGTAATGACGCGCATGAACATTCACTATTCCCTCAAAAAATTGTTCCGTTCCTCCCCAAAATATCCTCAAACGTCCGGAGTTACTCACTGCCCCTTTCACGCTCCTCCTCCAGCTTTCAGGCCTGCGCAGGGGATGCAAAATTTAACTCCCCAAACACCCATCACTTGCTTGAAAATTTCCCCTCGCTACCCCTCAAAACACGCCATTCCCCTCTCGTACTTTTCGCCCGCATCTTCACATTGTCTTCCGTTCGCTGTACTTCTGTTTCTGATGGAAGGCAGTGCTATAGATCATTGGTTGAAAACTTCCAATCCTTCTAATACGCTTAACTATAACAATATATGCTTAACTATAAAAAGTATGATGGGATAACAATGTTAGAATTTACTTGACCAACAGTTGACGAAATTTTACGAACCATTCAAAAATTTTTAGTATTGCACTATAATTTATACGTCAAAAACACATGCACGAGAGCAAGAACCACAACTATTCTTGTAAATATTTTTTAAACCACTATTTCTGCGTGAACTGTGGCGACATCTGACGGCATAAGCTGAAATCTCTCCGAAACATTGTTTTTTCTTGATAATTCCGATGAAGTTGAGCAAATATACATGTTGTGTCTATAAATTGTTATCTTATGGAGAAAATTTTCTTGGTATGTGCTTGTAGACTATTTATTATTACTATTTTCAAACGTATTGATGCCGACGAGAAAAAATTTTGTTTCGAAGAATAAATAATCATGGACGATAATTGATAGAGCACTTCAATTTTACTTAGACAAAAATGTTCAGTTTCCGACGGAAATTGAGACTGAAAATAGTTCATGAAGCCGCAAGTCTAGCATTTTCTAGTACGGTGATCGTTCTTCCAGCTTAAATATTCGTTGAAGTTGAGCGTATAAATATTTAATACCTTGACACAGTCATTAATAATACCTTTCATTTGAAGCCGAAATACTAGTAGGAAAATTGAGTATTCTTTCCATCTGTATGATTGACAGCTGGTATCTGTTAATAATTAATCTATGGCTGCCACTTATAGTACGATAATTTTAAGGCTGATTGAGCATTGAATATCAGGCAGGGGTTGTATGTGTAAAAGCTGCAGCAAACGCGCAATGGCATCGCTATAGGCAAAGGATTTCACTGCACATACAATCAGGCTCGATTAAAATCAAGGTAAAATTCAGGGTAACATTCAGGGTAACATCTAAGAGTAACTTTCGAGCAAGAGGCAGTTTCTCTTTGAACCCTGCACATTGATGTGTTTAAAGCAGGATATAAATATAATTTATGTCACTATACCATTTCAGCTTTTTATATTCTCAGTCTCATAAAAAATATTATCAGTGTAATATTTTCCAACAGTTTAGGGTAAAAAACTCATTTTATTTCATGGAAAATACAGAATTTGGAAATAAATTCATGTTATAATGATCCAGAATAATTATTATTATACTCTTTAAAGCAATTCAATAGGAAAACTAAAAAGTAATAATATCTTGAGAGTAATTTCAAGTCATTGCCACATGCACTAAAATAGAGCAGATCGTGCATGAATGTCGCAGGTGAAGTCAAGCTACTGTAGCACAATGCGGTAAAGTCAGTCCCGAGGTTACAGGCAGCGAAGATCCTAATAGGATTTGTGCTCGAGGCAACCTAATGCTCCGAGCTCTATTGGATTTAATCCTCAAATGGAGATCTTGCTCCAACTGGAGCATGACGCTCCACTAGTCGTGTACACGGTGCTGCACTAGTCGTGTACACGGTGCTGCACTAGTCGTGTACACGGTGCTGCACTAGAGCTGCACTAGTCGTGTACACGGTGCTGCATGAGTCGTGTACACGGTGCTGCACTAGTCGTGTACACGGTGCTGCACTAGTCGTGTACACGGTGCTACATGAGTCGTGTACATTGTACACGGAGCTATTTAGTCTGTTTGTGTCTTATTCGCCGAAAATATATAGTGCAGAATAGTTGGAATAGTGAGAATAGTGGGATAATTGGAGTAGAATATGTTCAGAATGTTGGATTTTAGTTTCATATTTAGTTATTTAGTTTAGTTTCAGAAAAGAAGTGAAGAAGGATGGATATATATATACTCGTATGACTTACAGCTATACACAACGGGATTAAGGATAACTCGATTCAGGATAATAATAAAATTAGAAATAATGAAAATTTGCCACATAATAAATTAAATAATTTTCATCTACAAAATATACGAGTGGACTATAAAACCAGTTTCTGAAATGCGTTTTAAAATTGGTCAAGAGGTTCAGAGATGAAATTTTATAAATTTTGACCGCATGTGAATCGCTGGCAAATGATTGACTTCTGAGTGGTGATTGCCGATGATTTTGATGATTTCTACGAGTACTTACTTTTCAGCAACATTTTTTCTCTGCTCACTGAACAACAGATTTTCATAAAAGCAAATGTTTTCAAGCCAATTTTTTCTCCAATAGTCTCTGCATCTGAGTGACAACGCATCACAATGTATCAACTGACAAGCAACTGAGCATCAAAAACAATCAACTCAGTTGTATTCGCCAGTATTTCTGATGATGAATTGTTCATAATATTTTTCTGAACTTCCTAATATTCCTATTTTTCAGAACTTCCTACAATTTATTTAGTTAAAAAGTTAAATTTAAAAGTTAAATTTTCATTCGATTCTTGCGAGTCTTAACAAGATGATTTTTAGATCTTTCGCACTTCCTTCCTTCCTTATCTGAGGGAACGGAGAAAGCTCTAAGGGAAGGATAATAAAGAAATAAGTCGCGAGGGCTGTTGAGATGAGGGGAACAAAATGGCCGACCAAGCCAGCAGTTATCGACCCTCGACAGCGACGAGGATGAAGATCAGGCAAATGAGGGAGAGCCGAGGGAAGTGAGGGAAGCGAGGGAAGTGAGGGAAGTGAGGGAAGTGAGGGAAGTGAGGGAAGTGAGGGAAGTGAGGGAAGTGAGGGAAGTGAGGGAAGTGAGGGAACTGAGGGAAGTGAGGGAAGTGAGGGAAATGAGGGAAGTGAGGGAGCCGAGGGAAGTGAGGGAAGAGAGGGACGTCAAGGTTTACGGGAGTGAAGGATAGGCGATGGAAATTAAGTATATTGAGAAGAGGGGAGATAACCTCGAACAAGAATGAGGAACGATTCATGAATTAATAATGAACAGGTGATTTATGAGTAATTAGGGAAGAATAGTGAGCCAGAAATGAGGGACTAAAAGAAAGAAATAGACAAGAGGCAAAAATATGAAAAATAGAAACAAGAGGAACTAAAAAGTAATAAATTGTACGCAGAAGAAAGGGGGAAACGTACAGTGCAATTATGGTATGTCAAACTAAACAAGTAATATTACATGTAATATTACAAGTAATAGTAATAGATAAAATGCATCACAAATGCTAGGCAATATAATATAAGGATTAATTATGTTCAGTAAATTCCTCCTCTCTACCCTTACTGCATTTCATCCTTTCCATTGCCCATTTATCTTCTCAATTCCGGACAACTTCCTTTTCATTTCCCTTCTCCACTCAGTATTCACTTCACTATTTATTTTTCAGTGTCTTCACTCAACATTCCCATTCCATAACCCTAATTATCGCCGCTTGTCTTCGACCTCTATTGCTATTCTTAACGTATAGTTTGAACTTCTTAGCTGCATTTTCTTATATATCCACCATTTTCCATCCCATATCTTTCAATCCCATTCCATCTTTTTGTTCGACAATCTCCTTTTCCATTTACCACCCACTTCCTCATTTCATGCACCTATCCACATCCTATCCAGCTCCCACCTCCTCATCCCTCCTCCCCACTTACCCTCCAACTATCCGCTTGCCTTCCACCTTTCTATTTCCCAATTCAACCTCTCCACTTTCCCTCTAACTTTCCACTTACCCTCCACCTCTCCACTTACCCTCCACCTCTCCACTTACCCTCCACCTCGCCACTTTCCCTTCACCTCTCCACCCACCCTCCACCTCTCCACTTACCCTCCACCTCTCCACTTGCCCTCCACCTCTCCACATACCCTCCACCTCTCCACTTACCCTCCACCTCTCCACTTGCCCTCCACCTCTCCACATACCCTCCACCTCTCCACTTACCCTCCACCTCTCCACTTACCCTCCACCTCTCCACTTACCCTCCACCTCTTGGCTCAAGCCAAGCACTCTCGAAAATGTCTGTCAAATTTTCGTGGTGGCGCCTCCAACTTTTGCTCACGGAATCTAATTTGACTTTTTTGTGTCG